ATGTTGAATCTATTTAATTATTCTTGAAAAATAATTTATTTCTGTGAATTTTTTTCACCCTGCATCAAAGTAAAGTTGATTACATTGATTAAGCATCATGAGGTGGAGGGTGGTTCCCCATTTTCTTTTGCTGGGAGTTTGCAACCCTATTAGTTAGGTTGCTTAATAGTTCTGCTAAGTACTCTTTAAAATACCAGAATAGGGAGGATGGAGTAGGTTTAACTTTATTAGATTGATCAGTGTTGCTGATCTATGAAATATTTTGGGTGCAGTGTGGTTTTTTTTTTTACATGCAGGTACAACAGAATAGCTTTAGTGTTGTTGTTGTTTTTTAACTTGAGTATGAACTTATACAAAAAGCAGCAAGATATTAAAAAAAACAGTTTTATTGATTAAAAAACACACTATATCGGATTCATATCGGTATCGGCAGATATCCAAATTTATGATATCGGTATCGGACATAAAAAAGTGGTATCGTGCCATCTCTACACACAACTACAACAAAAGACCCAGGGAAACTGAGTTAACGATAAAAATCCCCAAAACCATAAATTTCACACCCAAGCCTCAACTCTCGCGGCCCGGAACCAAACGACTCATGGACAGGTACCGGTCCGTGACCCAGGGGTTGGGGAACGCTGAACTACAAGATATATTTGCACGCTAATGTTTTCATTTTAAATGAGCTGTACAGCAATACACTGAGTGGTGATTTTTTATTTTATTTTGCCCAATCCATTGATATCAATGAGCGTACACTAAAAAAAAGAAACAGTATTGGCAGCAGTTTAGCAGGGCTACAAAGGCAACACACTTTCAACAGAACTTGAAAAGTACAACCTTCATGAAGGTGCAATTTATTGCAGGATTGTTAGGCTTAAAGTTTATATATAAGTTTACATTTAACACAGCTGGTAAATTATTGCACGGCTTCGTTATCAGGTGGTCTATATGTTGGCTACGTACCATGCTGCTGCACTCCTCATCCACAGGGTTTCCGAGTGGTCCAGGAAAGCTGCCTTGCTGCTGTTTTCTGTCCGACTGTGAAGTTTCAGAGACTCTCGAGGGAAAGACAGACTAGGAGGACTAAAGTCCTGCAGAAAATACAGACAACATAATGGACATTTAGGAATGAGCTGCCTCTCTACATTAGCCTGACCCCAACAAGTGAGGTTTTTAAATCACATTTAAAAACCTTTTCTCCGCGGCATTTCAAGATTAATACCAGAATTAGCTTCTAGTCCATTTTTAACTACTTTTTAATCTATTTGTATTTTTCCATGTTTAACTCTTCATTTTCTTTAATGCCTTTTTAATTTTATTTTGGTATTTTAACTGGAAACACTTCAGTCAACAATGTTTTTTAAATGCTCTAGAAATAAAATTGGATTGGAGATGCATTCACTTAAGACATTTTTCAGGATTATATTTATGGATTTTTCAATTCAATTTAATTCAATTTTATTTATATAGCGCCAAATCACAACAACAGTCGCCTCAAGGTGCTTTATACTGCACAGTAGATCGTACAATAATAGATACAGAGAAAAACCCAACAATCATATGACCCCCTATGAGCAAGCACTTTGGCGACAGTGGGAAGGAAAAACTCCCTTTTAACAGGAAGAAACCTCCGGCAGAACCAGGCTCAGGGAGGGACGGCCATCTGCTGCGACCGGTTGGGGTGAGAGAAAGAAGACAGGATAAAAACATGCTGTGGAAGAGAGACAGAGTCAACAAGACCATGGAAAATCACAACAGATGCACTACCACATTATCTAAATATCAGTATTTGCTAAATCAGCCTCCTTGATGGATATTAATGTGAATGAGATATCCTGATGGCAGTAGCCTTTGTGTATCAGTTAATTCACATCACTTCTGCACATACATGTAACTTGTTGAGTGTTAGTTTTTTTTCCTCTCTTATTTTCTTTTCTAAATGTACCTGTATATTGTTTACATGTTCTAAATAAATTACCAATCAATCAATCAGTGTAGCTTACTTTGGTTATACTGCTAGATAAAGTCTGTCAGTAAGGCAGTCCATTGCACTGCATGTATTGAGTTGAAGATGAAAAAATAAATTAATAAATGTATTTGCAGGTTAGTTATCACTAAGAAACCTAAATCAGGAAAATTAATTTCATTTTGATCTGCCTAAAAGCGCAAGTGAGTCATACATCTCCTTTAATAGACTATGGGACTGTGTCAGAGCTGAGCACACTGAAGGGATTATAATTTAATTAAAATACAATGAAGCTCTTTTGTGTGAACACAAAGAAGCTAAATTTATATATTAACTTATGAATTCACAAGATTAATGATTAGAGCCAGAGTTGCTCTTTTGCCTTATTTGCACCACCTGGCACCTGTGTTTGCTTTGTTGTTATATTGTTTTTATAGATTTCCATTTCTCTTTACATCTGGTGCCTCTGAAGTATGGGGCACTTAAATTGTATATTTTGATGAAGACTGAAATGAAGCAACCACTCCTTTTTTGTGAGTACACACAGAACAGAAACAGAAAGTCGGAATTAAGAGAAAGCTGATAACCATTGATTTTACACTGCTTAATAACACAAAGAAAACCTGGATGATAGTACACTCCTGTGGTTCAAAAGGAGGATGAATAACAACAAAAACACAATTAACCCACACAAATACCTACAAGCCTGAGCTAAAATGCTGTTAAACACTTTATATCATGGGAAATGAATTTTTCTTTATTCTTTTCCATCTCCAACATCTCCAAACTATACATCACAACAGCTCTCACTACCATCTGGTAATTCTTCCATTTCACTCTTGCTGCTATCCTTCAAAATCAGTAGTTAAATCAGCCCTAACACTCATTTCCAGCCACTCCACCTGGCCTGCACGTCACCTCATTTGTGCACTTCCCATTGCTTTACCAGGTATTTAAACTTTCACTACCTCTACTTACTTGCAACTTCAGGGAGCACCAATACTAAGGTTTATTATAATGAAAATTAGAGTAAAATCTACTTGGGAAAAAGGAAACTATTTAAGACTGACATTAACTTACAAGACTTACAAGGAATCAGTCTGTCTTGAACGTCTTAAATCTTGAATGTCATAAGCTATATGGTACAATTATATGGTAATGCTGAACCAAAAAAACGCAATTACAAAAAACAAATAATAATTAAGACTACAAAACGACGCTTAATAAGTTACCCCACTGGAAACATGACTGTCTGTCTTAGCTGAGACTGATAAGTCTGTAGGTTTGAGTCGGACCTGCTTCAGCTGGTCTTCAGTGCTGCTCCCCGACAGCAACTCGTTGTTGGACTCGCACACAGTGGTCTGTCCGTAGGGCAACGGAGGGGGGAAAAGAGCCAGAGAGCACATCTTCTACACGGAGAAATTATTCCACCGGACCCTGCAAAAACACAGTGGATTCGTCAGGTAAAGGCAGACACAGAAGTAGTGGACGCTGTAGCTTTTAGAGCGTGGGAAGCTAGCTAACATCACCAACTGAAGAAAGTTAACTAGTTTGTAATTTTATAATGCTTTGGCAAGAGCCTCGTTTGTATTTACAAACCTCGTGGTCCTTACCTCGTAGTGTGTTTTGTATAGTGCTGTCAATTCTCATTCGTTGTTTCAAAAACAAAGTCAAAGTACATGCTAGTTTGTTGTGACGCTCCTTCAAGTCAATCCCGCCGCGTTAGCTACGGCAACACGGAAGGACAAACAGTACAATTTTTCCTGCAGTGCACAAACTGGGAAAAAATGTCGCACTGCCCTCTTCAGGACAGAAAGCGACACTGGAACCACACACAGGCAAACAAGTACAATTTATTTAGGTCGGGAGTGTCAAATTCACTATTTGACTTAACAAAAATGGCGTATATAAAGAAGTATCATTTCAAGGCGTTTACCTGAGCCATGGAGCCTATATAGAAATTACAAAACAAAAACAAACATCAAAATAAACAAGCATAAACTCAAGTGAAAGACACTCCTCAATCCACTCATCATAAAAATGTCAGAGAACAGAAGGTAGTACTTCTTGGTAAGGTACTTTTCTAATCTATTCAATAATTCACTTACAAAATATATAAAATGACCAAAGTTCTTTAGGCAAAGAAAAATTCAACAGTATCTCTGTTCTTTTTTCCACATTTATTTAATCTACTGTAACTGCATGTGCATTGCAGTGTACTGATCACAAGGAAAAGGCACAAAGCATTCACACGCAGTTTTTTCCAGACATTTTCACTCCTGTAATAATAATAATAATAATAATAAAACCAAAAAACACTGGAGTAATTAATTAATGTTAACACTTTGCGCCATCCAGTGGGCCGAATTACGCCGTTTGGTGGGCCAGATGTGGCCCTCGGGCCGCGAGTTTGACAGCTCTGGGGATAGCTAAAATACAGGACTCATATAATTTGTCAGGAGAGGTTTTCACCAAACAGAGCACAGTTTATGAACCAAAACAAAACAATAAATGAATCAGGGAGGGCAGGGCGTACGGTCTGGGGCAATCCAGAGTTCCTTGACTGAGTGTTTTGCTCAAAGACACATCAGCAGCAGCAGCCTGGCTCGATGCTGCTCATACAGGACCTTCTTCCGGTTCAAACTCAAGCACAGAAATCAGTGAATGGCGTGCGTGCATAATTATATATTTTGGGAATGATAGATAAAAACTGCGCTTAGTTCCGTTGGTGTCTATGTGTTTGCAGAGGGAGGAGGTGAAAGCGCCCCCTTGCGGCGTAACACGCATTTCCGTGACGTCAATTCAGCACTGGGAAGGAGACAGCTCCCTCCCCCCCAAAGAACCCAGCGCGCCTCACGTTGCATGGGTCCCCGGTTATTGATAACACAATTTACCCGCTGGGATCTATCCCAGTAACGTGAAACTCGTGGATATCGGCGCTGGAAATACTAGAGACACCCCGGACCGAATAAAAAAATAACGATCTGCTCATTATCGCCGGCAAATAGAAAGCCGAGCCCACCCCTTCACTTGACAACGCGACATCAACCAGGCAGAAAGGTATGGGAATGTCATACTACCCGGTTAAATGCTTAATAAATGTGATATCAGGTACGTTTAGGCAGGAATCCGTTGCTTGGTGGGGTAGCGTTCATGCCGCTCACACTGCACCACTGAAGTGATGCTGCCAAGAAGCGAATCATCGTCGATGAATGCTACAAAATCATATTTGTGCAAAGAGAAAGCTCACATTACGAAATACTCGCGTTGGTACCAGCGCTGAGTAAATGTACATGTACTGCGGCAGTTTGACTTGGCATGGAGCATAGTAGGCATCGGGCTTGCTATTCATGCACGTCGGCTATGATGCTGCTGAGTGTCATCATCACATCCTTGGTTATTTAAAGATTGATCTTCCTGCGTGTGTGTGTGTGCGTGCGTGTGTGTGTGTGCACTACTCCTTCGCACAGGCCTGGTGGTTGTTTATTGCCCGTCTTTTACGCTCTCATTTCGCCCAGCCGTTGTGGCTCTTCTTGTGCAGTGGTGCAGTACAAGACACGGAGCTGGTGTAGGATACATGAATTGGGTACATGTGGTTCCTCTCTCTGGCTCCCACTCTCTCCCCCTCTCTCCCTCTCTAACATACACATACATGCACGCACGGACGTACGTACACATGCACACGCGGAGGTGGTTATGCAATTCGTCATATTCTTCATCACACACAATGCTCTTCTTCACTCGGCAAATGATGGGCAGCATATACCAGCTGCTTCGCTTGCATCCTGTCAGACCCTGGTGCTGCTCAGAGGAACAATTAAAGCACAGGGGACAGTCATGGCTGTGGACTGTACAACAGCCTGTGGTCGATTCATTCATAAAGCCAGTTTCCACTCTGGGTGATGGCTCCACTGGGCCGGCTGGTTTTCCCATTCACAGACACAGAGATGAGGCTCTACTACATGATTCAGACAGAATTTAGTTGTGGGACTGGAGTGGCTGTGGATAGACTGGGAGACTGGCTCGCTGCCCAACTCACAACACGACTCCCTCTGTTTTGGTGTTTTGTATCACTTGTAATGGAAGCCAGGTGCCAAGTTAGTCTTTAATTCAACGCTGAACAGCTTCATAATGCCAGTGTATGGTTTAAGTCTGGAGCTGTCCAGTGCTGAAATGGACCTATGCATCAACATTTGTTCTAATTCACTTCTTATCACAAATCTTCTCCTCCAGGCTTTCTTCTCATCTGTCCATCCTCCATCCACCCTGACCTGCTGTGTTGGGGAAACCCCTGATGAGTGGGACCTGTATCCATGAGCCCCGTGCCCCTTCCCCCTCCCTGTCAGGCTTCAGTACCCCCATCTCAGAACCTCCCTATCGAAGACTCGATGGAGACACCCCTGCCTGCACCCCTGAAACTGACCTGACCCCCACACAGTGTGTCCTTCGTAACGTATTGTCCATTGACACCGGCGGACAGGGAGTGCCCGGCGGAAGCAGCCCCACTCCCAGTGATGGACCCTCAGCCCACTTTGACAACAGCGTGCTAAAACTAAATGAACATGAGGCCTGCCAGTGTGGCGGCGGGGCCGAGGCGGGCCACAGTCCGGAGGCTGGCGCTGTTCGGAGCCAGTCGGAGAACATTCGCCTACAATCAGGAAGTGGAGGTTTTTTGGAGGGACTGTTTGGCTGCCTGAAACCAGTCTGGACCATGATTGGAAAGGCCTACTCCACTGAACACAAACATAATCATGAAGGTATGTGCAGATAAGGCGCCACTGTGTCTATGCTCTCTGTTCTTCCACTATGCATGTTAAACATGGAGATTCACCACCGAAAATGAATAGTTTAAGCCTCAACTTGACAGTGGTGGAGGAATGAACCACCAGAAGCAGAGCTGTTATTAGTATTAATTTTGCTTCTTACTTTTTGTTTTCTTGTAAAACATTGGATAATTTGTCCTGGGCCTCATCTGCTTTAATAAAACACGATGAGACAAACAGGTTGGTAGTTGCCGTGTTACCCTTAAACAGTGGATTACATAGCCTTTTCATAAGTTTCTGTGTCAGGTCCTTAACAGTAACTATGGCTGTTGTTAGTTAAATGTGGTGCAGGAAAAAATAAGATATTTTAGCCCGGGAAATGTAGTGGAGCGAAAGGGTAAAGTGGCAGAAAATAGAAATACTCAAGCATGAGTACATCAAACTGTACTTAAGAACAGCACTTATAAATGTACTTTTGTATTTTGCGAACCCAGAACTCCATTATTTCCTGCGCTCCCTGACTGCCACTTTGTCCTGCTGGCAGCACGACTGCGTGCTCGAGTCTGTCAGCCAGGCTCACCCACAGTCATCAGCTAAACTGAGATCTCACAGCTGGTCAGGTGGGAGCATCATGTGCATCTGGCTCCACTGCTGCTGCTGCAGCTCTCAAGAGATCTAAACACTTCAGTGGACCTCATGAAGAATTGATCCAGCTGTCTCTTTTATTCTGTCAAGCTCGTCCATCTTTAGTGACCGTGCTTTCACAGTCGTTTAAGTAAAGTCAGCGTGACGGATGACAGGCAGATTAGACTACAAGCGGATTGTTGCTTTCCCCCCTATTTTTCTCCTTATCTCTGGATACAAATGCAATGGCCTAGTGGATATGTTGTCAATATCCCACTTGTTTGACCATAGCAGGCACTTTGTATGATGTAACTGTGTCCTGCCAGTTTATTCTAATGTGTAGCATGGATGCACCCCCCTCCCCCCAAAACAAAACAAAACAAAACAAAACAAAACAAAACAAAACAAAACAAAACAAAACAAAACAAAACAAAACAAAACAAAACAATCTCTCTATCCAAGCTGACATAGCTTTGCAATGATGATGGGTGGAAATCATCTGCTGCAGTGTCTTTGGTATTGTGAATAACCTTTCTGCAGTTGCATACTTGATGAGGTTCACATTGTTTACTTGTTGGTCTGAGTTTAGAGTCCTGGGAGGTTCCATTTGAGGAAATCTCTGACCTGCAGTGGGTGGGCAGCGGTGCACAGGGAGCCGTCTTCCTTGGCAAGTTCCACGGAGAAGAGGTGGCTGTGAAGAAAGTGCGGGACATCAAAGAGACTGAGATCAAACATCTCCGCAAACTCAAGCATCCCAACATTATTACTTTCAAGTGAGGAAGCTACATATTTTTTTAATATATATATTAGGATATATATCTCCCAGTTATGTAACTCTGATTGCACTTCCCTTTCAGGGGTGTATGCACCCAGGCCCCCTGTTACTGTATCTTGATGGAATATTGTGCTCAAGGGCAGCTGTATGAGGTGCTGAGGGCAGGCCGTAAAATCACACCTTCCCTCCTGGTTGACTGGTCCATGGGCATTGCAGGTGGCATGAACTACCTACACCTCCACAAAATCATCCACAGAGACCTCAAGTCCCCCAAGTAAGACTCAGAAGCACAGCTGGTGTACTGACAGTTTCTTTGATACTAAAGCTTAAATTGTTTATTATGTAATCTCACCTTTCCAGCATGCTGATCACACATGATGACCTGGTGAAGATCTCTGACTTCGGGACTTCAAAGGAGCTCAGTGACAAGAGCACCAAGATGTCGTTTGCCGGCACTGTAGCCTGGATGGCTCCTGAAGTTATTCGGAATGAGCCGGTGTCAGAAAAGGTGGACATCTGGTAAGTCTGGTTAACATTCACACTTCTTTTCCTATAGGCTAGAAAAAGTTG